AGTAGGCTGCATTTTCATCATAAAATCCGCCTTTGGCGCTTCATCAGCGTCTTTTTGTCTGCTACTGACTTGTGACGGAGACTTTCTCGAACGAAAGCCGATTTTTCAGCGCTCCTACATCAGATCCATTCGCATGGGATGCTGTTGCTCATGAGCCCCAAGCCGGCGGCTCAACCGGTCAGATATCAGAGCAACACTCACCGTCCAGACCTCCTCCTCCGTCAAGGCCTGCACCACCTAAGCATCCTCGAACTGGAGCGGGCGATGAGCAAGGTTTGTGTTCGAACTTTTTTGCTGCGAACTTCGTTAGCTGAATGGGAAAATTCAGTCGCTACCGCACATCTCCCTCCACCACGACCTCCTCCTGCTTCTTCACCGTCTGCACCCCCTCCGCGACCTGGTCCACCTTCGCCCAAACCTCCGACACCGAGAAAGGTTGAACCGGAACCGGAACCGGAAGAAGATGCATGGACGGCGTTCAAGAAACTCACAGAGAAGGTATTTGCGAAATTTCTTATTCTGCCTTCATTAGATAAAAGAGTTTTTGATCGGTGCTGAAGGACTTGGTTTACTACAGGTGAACGTCGCAGTGAAGTCAACAGAAGGCACATTGAAGACGCTGAGCGAAACGACCGCCGTGAAGGATATAAAAGACGAGAGCTATCTAGGCCAAGTTGGGTAAGTCTACCAATGAAGTCCTAATACTGGGCGGTCATTTTCTGAGGGGGTGGGAAATTCAGAAAAAGGCATTCGAGAGCAACGAGTACGTGACACTAGGACCAAGCCCAGTAGAGAGGAGGAAACGCAGGGGAGAGCAAGGGTCACTTACGGGCCTCACCCTGGATCCCTTCCCCTCTAACGTTTGGTCTCAAATTTTTTAAGTATCTCGCTCACTTCCCGTCCCCTAAGGACATGGGCGCCATATACTGATATACTCCACGATCTTTTGCCACTTTACGGGTTTTCTTGCCTTTCCATAAGCCTCCGGAATACCGTTCGTTAGTGATTACGGTAGACCCAGTTAATGGCTAGAATATCTGGGCGCAGCTACATTCTCGACCCGTGGCCCATGTTTCCACGTTTGATGCATCGAGTTACTGATAGTTTCGGTTTTACCACACATTCTTATTCTGGAGTTTTTTTTTCTATTATTGAGACTTCTCTGAAAGTAAACTGCATTTCATTAAAGCTCATTGTTGGGAGCAATTTCACAACTACGCGTATTGCAATTAGGACGAAATACACGATTTTGTTCCGTATACTTAGCACTCTGTATGACAGTAAGGCAATGCCAGACTTTGCGACAAGTCGCCGAATGACCTGCGCAGCTAGCTAGAGATCTGAGGGATACAAACGATGCGCCAGCGATCAATCCTGGCGCAATAACAAATCGCATTCACATTGATGTAAAATCGCTGGCGCATCGCTCGCACCTCTAAAATCGGAATGGTCGCAAAGTGTGACACCTGTAAACTTGCTGCTGATTACAGCATTATACTGCAGGCAAAACGTACGAGTTGCAAAAACTTTTGACTTGTTTTTATTGGATAACTGCTGTTTTAGGCCGCGTCGCCGTTAAAAGTATCCCCCAGGAATGCGAGTTGTGGCAAAACTTTCGCCCCAGCCGGGATTCGTACCCGGATCTCTTGCTTTCCGGGCAATTGTGCTATCCACCGGGGCACCATTTCACCCCAACTCAGCTTCGATGGTGAAGTTACCATAGCTTATCAGCATTCACACGTATAACGTGATGAACCGGTAGGCCGATTTCGGCATTCAACCGCAAGGCTGAAAGCTTTACTAGATGTTACCATTTTGACTTGTTTTTATTGGTAACTGCTGTTTTACGCCGCAGTTCGCGTTGCGAAAGTTTTGCCCACAACTCAGCATTCTTGTGATAAAGTTGCAACACTGTTTATATCGAATGCAGTGAGTTACTTTCAGAGGAACCCAAGGTTACGTCGATAACGTTGCGCAGAGGGAAATACATCGTCTGGCCGAGCAGAAACAACAAGAGAAGGTGCTGAAGAAGAAGTTGAAACAGCAAGGTGATTTTTGATTTGAGCAAGATTTTGAATTCACTTTAATGTTTGAGCCTTCTCAAAACATGGTAACCATCCATCCTTCCTTTCACATTTTTTGCATAACCACGAGGGTAAAAAAATCGGGTAAAAGGATAAAGGATAAAGCATTTGCCGTTGATCAATCCCTTTTTGGGATGCATTCTACTTCCATTTGTACATTCGTAGTGGCGTTTGAATGCGATGTGGCCTATACAATGACTTGCGGGGGCCAGCCGATGTACAAGTCAGTGTTTTTATCCTCCCAGACAAATTAACCGACCCCGGAGGGATGGAAGGCTTGGTTGGCCCGGGCGACTCACGACCCAGGATTTGATCCCCGGACCGCTCGCGTGGTAAGCGTGCCACTTGCCACTACACCACTTCCGCCCTATAAGATCAGTTACGGTGATGTTAAAGCGGATGCCTAATAACTGAATTGTACATGAAATGTAAATCTGAAAATGGGGTCACTCTTGTGAATGCGACCGCTCTTTTTGAAACCGATAAGCACAGATGAGGTCGTGCCCAATAATCTGCACTGTGGCTAAGATAGAGTAACCCGTTAGTATCAGAGTTGTGCTGCTCGAAAGTAAGCGACAACTGCGCTGAATCCTTGTAAAGTGAGCTATTGACGGCTAACGTGGGCTTTTGGACGAGATACCACACCCCATAACTTGCAACGTGGATTACGACGCAGTGGCTAGTTCAAACGCGCGCGAGTTAGTGGTATCAGGAAGCAAGAAGCTGAGACAGCTCCATCGGACGCCCCTTCCTCATTTCCAGTGGAAAAGAGGGAGCCCTTCTTCAAGGGCTTCATCAGCGAATGGCTTTGTTTCCTTTTACATTTTCGGCCACAGCTTCATTCTCGACCGCTGTTACCCCAACAGTTTGATCTGGGGTTTGCTTGAAAGAATCGGATACGACTTGTGAAGGCACCACCAGAGGCTTCTATAAGGCATATTTAGATCTTTGAACTGCATGTTTTTGAGTGTAGAGCTCCTGTAGTAGTACGTACTGATTCTCACCATGCAAACTAGTGATGCCCACAATGCCACGAGGTGTCCAAATCTTCGTGCTCTTCCGCCACTGAACCCTCCCACCTCTATGAGATCGTCTATGTGTTGCTTCCCAGTCATGTCTAAGGATACAACATAGGTTGCTTAGCATTCCTGCCTCCTTCCGCAGCTCATTATGTGGGTAGTCAAATGCCCGTGCTAAATCTGATGAAGCACAACGCATGGCGCATACAGAAATGGTTTTGTCATTTTCAAATAATTGCTGACTTATAAATTGCTTGCAGGCAAAAAGCTGCATCTCCGACGTTTGACCCCGACGAAGAGGCGAACATGGATCGTGCTGCTCAAGAGTTAGCGATGAAAATGGCCAGCATGAGAACCGATCTCGGGGTGAGCACGTTTTCTTCCCTGATTTGTTTTTTACAGGCTGCTCTGAAGAAAAAAAAAAGAAATTAGGGCTATTTTTCTTTCGCATCCTATGGCCTGCGTATATCCAGTGTTATTGTTTTGAAATCATTCCAGCTTGCATTACTCTGTTCTTCATTCATTTTATTCTTTTCGATTTTCCATTCTTTTTCCGTCAGTTCTGCAGTCATTTCATTGAGTTTAATATTCTTGAAGAAATGTAATCATTTGGAGCGCTCAAAAATTAACTTAAATGGGTAAAAAACTTGAAATTTTTTGGTCGGCATTTTTTGTTCGGATTTTTCCATTTTTTCGCTCTAAGTTAGATTTAAGTATAAAATAAGTTTTGTGGTAAAGAATTGGGATTACTTTTATATACTGCATTGATGGTCGACCTTTCCAATTTTGAACCACATCTCAATTCGTAGGTTTTTTTAGATCGAAAACTTATTTAATCGATTTTAAGGACTGGAAACCACCAACAGCAGCGTCCTCGAGTCCTCCAGCAGTGGAGCGTCAAGATTCGCTGTCCGCGATTCCGCCACGGAAAAGGTACTTTATAATTTTTTTGGGACTTTTATTTACGCCTCTTTATGAATCAGCTATCGTCACTAATTTACTTCAATTTGTGATTATATGGTTGAATTTCGATTCCAGAAGTTCGCTCAAAGAAACGCAACAAGATTCAACTGGATCACTCGAACTTCCAGCACATCTTAACACCAAACAGAGGGACAGTGTCACTCCTGTTGGTGACTTGTGAGTGACCATTGACATTTTTCTTTCCTTGCTTTGAGACTACTACTTGGATCATTTGCATGCCCTATTCGTGAATATGTAGTCACCACGCGACACCGCTCACTTTTCAGTTCATATTTGTGCGTAAAACTCGTACAACCTGCCCCGCGGCTTCTTGTCGCGTGCATCTGGTGTACGGACAACTTGAACTCAGCCCTTTAAACCGCCTCGATTTGACGCTCTCGCCTGCGCTCTCTCGCTTAACCAGCGCTTTATGATTACTGTGATCTTATGTATTCAAACTTTGCCACAATATAATTGGCTCACCACTACGGAGTCCCTCCTCCCTTCAAGGCTTAGTCCTAGAGCTCTCACCTTCTTGGTTGGGATTTGGAGCCGAGCCAGGCGCCGTTCTCTAATCGTCTGTGCTCTGGCCTTTCTCGGCAGAGAACATAGGGGAGAGTTCAAGTAGTCACGTAATCCTTTTGCTGCACGCTTTTCCTTGTTTGGCAGCTTCATTTATGCAGTATCGAGTGATATCGCCCCCTTGCCCCTACGAGCCATTCGGTCTCCTGAAGGTCTAGACTGGGAGATTTTTGAGAGGGGATCGTGAATGGGGTGGGCGAAGGTGAGAAGGTCGGTTTGTGTTTTTTGTCGGAATTGTTGCGTTGTTGTAGGAGAGGGCCATTTTCAACGGATTTCAGACGATTTTGGCGAAAATTTCGCGAAAGGAGCGTGAAATGGAAAACTGGAACATTTGCCGTTGTTATGAGACATATTTACCTTCCGCTCGACGGCGAGTTTGAGTGGGGTGGGAGAAGGAGAAGTGTGCCGAGTGGTCTCAGGATCAAATCCTGTAGCATGATAGAAAGGGTGATGGTCGCGGGTGTTAGCAGGGTTTCTGGGTGACAGCTCTCACGCTTTTGCTTTGGAGAGGTCGCATTGTGACTGGGATCCTGAACTCTTTGAAATCGAACAAACACCACGGTTGATCTTGCCTCAACCTCCTCCCCCTCCTTTGGATCATTTTAAGAGAACTCAATGAGGGTAAGTCTTCTTTGTGCCATTCTTCAAAAAAAGCCTAAATAATATAAATTCTAGAGAGATTCCCAAGATCTGCCTATCTTCTGTTTTGTTTTTTGTTTGGTTTGCTTGTATTTAGCACTGCTTTCAATTATGTGATAAAGAGAATGTCGCAGTGCACCAAATGAATGAATTTTGAAAGTCTTTTCTTGCAGAGAACCAGGCGATCCGAAACTTACCGGCTCCAGCATGGGCAGACTTTGAGACCTCGGCTCCAGAGTTACCACCCAGTGAAAGCGGATTCTTCAGCAATAAAGTGAGTGATTCATATGGGGGAAAATCATAATTTAGAATCGTTATTAGGCCATGTGTCACTTTTGAACATTTAAAGCTCCATGGTGGCGATATTGGTTGTCTGTTCTATGTTAGAATCATGTTCCCTACATAACTGGTTAGAACCAGCTGACCTAACAGAGTGGAGGTGGTAAAGGTTGATGCCAGCCTAACCGGGCTACCACGCTTCTTCGGCCAATTACGTTGTGACGCTTTTCTGGCATGGAGAAAAAAGGCCCAGCGAGCACTAGTTGTGGGTGAATTCCAGTGAACTTGCACTTCCGCATAGTTTCCTGCTATGGTTGGTTAATGGCGGAGTTTGCCATTGGAGGGCAGCCCATTAGAATTAAGGTAGAGGTGGTCAGTGGTGCAGGGATGAAGAAAAAACCATGAGAAACGGCCAGAACCCGAAAAATGGGACCCCTTCCTTGCCCGTTGATTTCCGCATTGATGCGACTCTCATCGGTGCTGCCCTCTTCAACGCTAACGCTCTCTCTGCTAAACGGCTAGAGGTCAGACAGCGAGAGGTAGACGTACCACGCCGATAGCTATGCGGGGAGGGCCATGCTAGATCGCCAGGGCATACGTTCCGCAATTGCATGTCGGTCCGCCCCCTTACGAGGAAGGTCTTTCAGGAAATGCCAGCTTTCTCAAAACGGTTTTTTGCATGATATAGGGGTACATGCATGGAACACAGAACTGTAGTTCATTTTTCCTGAGCGGCCCTCTGAATACCAAAAAAGGGGTGATGAAGTGGTCCGTGGTTCGAATCCTCGCAGTGACAATTTTTTGCATTTTGTGTTGGCGTTTCAAAATTCGCGAAAAATAGCGTCAGCGTAAACAACTTATGTCATATCTATAATTAGGACCATCAGCAACCTTTATACGTAGACTTTGGCTGAAAAACTGGTGAAGAAAGTTAAGAACGGCAGTTCCTCAAGAAATTTTTCTTCGCTCCTTTTTTGGCATTCAGAGGGTCGCTCAGGAAAAGTGAGCCACAGTTCTGGGCAGAGTCAACCCTGCGTTGCGCAGTTCTCAACGGCCACGTTGCGCAGTTTCGCCCGATTAGACACGTTCTCTCGCGCGAACATTCACACTCGCATGCTCGAGCCGTCTGTGTCTCCGCCCATACAGCGTGCGTTGAGGATCTCTCAACGTGCCGTTGCGAACTGCGCAACGCAGGGTTGACTCTGGTTCTGGGTTCCATGCTTGTACCGCTATATCATGCGGAAAACCATTTCGAGATAGCTGGGCATTCTGTTAGACTTTCCTGGCTAGGATGTCCGCCTATCTTTCCTTTGGGTAAATTTCCCCTTTCTCGATTTTCGATCTCATCGCGGGATCTTCCTTTAATAACAGCATGAGAGTCTGGCTTTACCATCTCCGGAAAGGGCGAATTTAGTCCAGCACAGGGTCAGCCCTTCTTTTCTAGGGGAGGTATATACGCACGCTGAAACGGCAAATTTTCTCCCGCGCGCTCTCACCTCATCACATGTAATTTCGTGCTACCGAAACAAGTACGACCCCCCCTCCACAAACTCAACAAACTACGACCCCCCCCGTGGCTTGTCCCAACGTAGGGTTGACCCTGGTCCAGCAATGTTTGACTAAGCAGTTTATGCTCACATGTTCTTTAGAATTTTGTTTTCATTTGTATATCCGTTTCTACGAAGGACAGCAACAATGCAAATGATCTATCGACTCAGGACAGCTATGATCCGTTCATCATACCAACGCAGTTCAAGCCGGAACGAGATCCGTTTGCTCCTCCTGACAAGGACCTCATCGACGAAGTATGTTGCACTCTGACATAATCAAATTCTCTTTTAACCTCACTTTCTTTCTCTTGAAGGACTACGATCCATTTGCTGTACAACCGGTGGAGGACATTGTGGCCGCAGCAAAAGCCAAGGCAGAAGAAGCCCGATTGGCCAAGGAGGCTCATGACGACGTCGACTTCTTTGGAGGGACACGGTACGTTCCCCATCTATGTTCATTTAGCACACATTGTCGGCAGCTGACAGCTCATTATTGAACCGCTTTTCTACTTGCGAGATTTGTTCCCCTACTATTCGTAAAATTCTCAGCTTGACAGCTTATTTTTTCTGTATTTCAAGTTCCTCATGTTTTAAAAATAGGACCCAAAGACATATTCCGCGAAGAATTTGAGTGATCCATCCCGTGAGTGGGAGAGGTATTCAAAAGAGGGGTGATAGGTCGTTTTCGCGGCTTAAAACTGAGCAACAGTGGTCTTGGAGGAGAGGCCATCCCCACCAGGGCCAACCATCGTGTTCGGCCGATTTCAAAGACTTTCACCACCCCCCCTCCCCCTCTCACCACTCCTTACCACAGCTGCTTGCTTCCATACTGTGTTATACTGGGACAAGTTGACACAACCCAACCACGCCCACACTGCCTCCAAAAAAGCCCCGAGTGG